AATGATGTAGAAAGCATCAAAAGAAGATGGAATATACAGGGTCACTGTACCAAAAGGAATTGGTTCATGTTCAACCATTTCAAGAGGTAGCATATGGTCAAGAGCCAATGATACTGGAGGAAGAATTCCAAGGTGAATTGAAGGAATTGGCAAAGAACAAGGCACCAGGAATTGATGGAATAAACATTGAAATCTTGCACAGGAGGCACTCGCTCATCTCTGCCAAGAAATTTGGAAGACAACTATCTGGCTGACTGATTGGAAGATGTCCTTATTTGTGCCCATTCCAAAGAGAGATGACCCAATGGAATGCGGAAATCATCCGACAATCTCTTTGATATCCCATGCGAGTAAATTTTTCTAAAGGCAATACAGAAACGGCTATAATCATACATTGACAGAGAACTTCCAGAGGTTCAAGCTGGATTCAGAAGAGGCTGTGGAACGAGGGATATCACTGCTGATGTCTGATGGATCTTAGCTGAAAGCAGAGAATATCAGAAAGATAGTCTCTGCTTTATTGACTATGCAAAGGCTTTTGATTGTGTGCATCATGACAAGCTATGGACAACATTGCAAATATGAATATTCCAGAACACTTAATTGTGCTCATGAGGAATCTGTACCTGGACCAAGAGGCAGTTGTTCAAACAGAATATGGGAACACTGAATGGTTTCAAATTAAGAAAGGTGTGCTACAAGGTTCTATTCTTTCACCATACTTATTTAACCTGTGTGCTAAGCAAATAATCCAAGAAGCTGTTTTCTATGAAGAAAAACGTGGCATCAGGATTGGAGGAAGACTCATTAATAACCCACGATATGCAGATGATACAACCTTGCTTGCTGAAAGTGAAGAGGACTTAAAACATTTACTGTTGAAAAACAAAGAGCACAGCCTTCGGTATGAATTACATTTCAATGTAAACAAAACAAAAATCCTCACCACTGGACCAGTAAAATCATTCTTATCAATGGAGAAAAGATTGAAATTGTCATTCTTCTTGGATCAACTTCAGCACTCATGGAAGCAGCAGTTATGAAATCAAACGATGTACTGTGTTAGGCAAATCTGCTGCACAAGACCTTTTGTAAGTGTTGAAGAGCAAAGATGTCAGCTTGAAGACTAAGGTGCACCTGACCCAAGCCATGGTATTTTCAGTAACCTCATATGCATGCACTTCTACCTGATCCACCATCTTGTTGTTTTTCTCCTCTGATGTCTTCTAGACCAAACATTAGTTTAGCTAGTAAAAACTGTCTGTCTTCCTGAGCATTCTGCTCTCGTAAGAACGATGTATATAGGATCAAACATCCCCTCAAAAGATTATATATTCAACTTGGGGGCAGTGAATTTACATTAATGGAGAAGGAACAACTCAGTAAAGGAGGGTAAGAATCGTTGCACAACTGAAATATATCCCTATATGACACATGTAGAAACTAGAATTAGTGTATGCATTGCTGAGTATATTCTCAATAGCAACAGCAATAAAATCAAAGTATCTTTAAAAGAAAGAAAAAGAAAATGGAATGTTAATATTAATGAATGGGTTTCTAATTTCTCAGTTGGCTAACATTCCCCCCAATTACAAATGCCCTTCCATCTCTGTTATTTTCATTCTGTAAGATTTTAAGGTTTCATTCTGTAATCCGTGTTAAGGATAGATTGTAAAGCATTTATCTTTTGTATGAATTTTTTTTATCACACCATTTTCTGTTGTTGTTAACTTTTTAAATTAAGAATTGGTTAAATATGGTATATAATTAGAAATAAATATCTCCTCACCATCAAAGCTCTTCAGATGCTGCCATTGGCAAGAGAAGAGGAGGGTTTCTTCCTCCTGATTTCTAGACTAACTCTCGGGCTGAAATGTTCAGCACATCCATGAAATCCTAGACAGCTGTACAAAATCCCACTCCTTTGCTAAAAGCAAAGCAGAGTGATGGAGACTTTAATTAGAGCAGCTTTTAGAAGGCCCGAGAAAATGAAGAACAACAAGAAAACAAGAAGTCCATTTAGCTAGGTTGGCTTCACTGTGTCCTGAAATGCCTCTAATTAAATCATCATGGTTTCCTTTCTCAGGGATCAATGAGCAAGGACTGTACCGCATCGTGGGGGTCAACTCCAGAGTTCAGAAGTTGCTGAGTGTCCTGATGGGTGAGTGCAGCAAAGGCTCTGTCATAGCAACTCCCTGTGGGAGGAATCGGGACTGTGCTCGGGGATACTGCTTGTCATGGATGCAGGCATCACTGCAAGAGGTTCTGTGTAGGATTGAGCAAAAGAAAAAAATGCCAGCTCCAAGGCACCACACCCTCTCCATTGGAAGAGTTGGCTGGTCCAAGTGGCGCTTGGTCACTCATGTGACCACCACACCCTCCCGTGTTCTTAATAGCTCATGACGTCCTCTGCCCTCTTTTGAGACAGGTATTTAGTGGGCACACCCAATGGCCAAGGAAGGACATCATTCTAGTCTGCAGAGGACCTCAGCTCTCATGTTTCCTGTTAGTGAGAAGGTGTCATGTAACCCCCAGATAAAATGTATATGAGCAGATAATTCTGATCCTGTCCTCTTTGCTTCTAGATTTCAACCTAGTTCTTGCCTCTTGAGCAGCAGAATCTCCTTTGCAGTCAGTGATATAAATATGAAACCACTGTCTCCTAACGTGCACTATTTGAATCAAAAACCCATGATCCAGTGAGCCAAATTTGCTTAGGCTGCAGATTTCCTGTATTTTTAGATATGAATGCAGCCCGCCTCAGTGAGTCACATGGATCTAAATGGCAAACAGATCAGATTTCACAGATCAGTGGTTGTTTTTCATCCCCATTCAAGCCCCAGCTGTGCTTGTTGAGATGGGTTGGTGTTTAGGGTCCCCGCTCATTATCCTGAGCAGAAGATTGTCTTGTCAGTATTTTTTATTTCATTTGCTGTCCCAGTTTCTATTTCATTTGCCATCCCATTTCATACTTCAGGACACCTCCTCTCTCATGTCGATCAGAACAACTGTCTTCTCTGTTTTTTGAGAGATTGACCTACCTCTTGAGTGTACTTGTGTACTCCTCAAAGTGAGATCTAGTGTCTGAAACTGTAACTATTTATGGAGTACTCTTGCATTGAGAAGGAGCCCTGGTGGTGTCATGGGTTAAAAACTGGGCTGTTAGCTACAAGGTTAGCAGTTCAAGCACACCTGCTGTACTTCGGGAGAAGGATGAGGCTGTCTGCTCCCATAAAGATTGACAGTGTAAGAAACCTTAAGGAACGACTGTCCTCTATCCTATAAGGTTGCTATGTGTCAGAATCAACCTGATGGCAGTGGGTTCTGGCACTGAGTATTTGATTTTTGGCTCACCTTTTGGATGTTGTTAGCTATTTTGTAAATTAAACTTTTTGTTTTGAGATAGTTGTAAATTCACATGAAGTTGTAAGAAATGATACATGTATGGAGAGTTCCCGTGTGCCCTTAGCCCAGTCTCCCCCAGTGGTAACAGCTTGGAAAACCATATTACAATATCACTACCAGTTAAGAAGCAGAGCAGTTCATCCCCAGAAGGATCACTGAGGATGCCCTTGAGTGGATACACCCACTTGCCCCCACCTCCACCCCAACCCCCAACAACGATGAACCTGTTCTCCATTTCTATAATTCTGTCATACAAGAATACTGTATAATTCTTGAACGACAGAATTTTAGAAATGGAGAAGTATCACAGTTTATTCAGTCATTGAAGGGCATCTGGGTTGTCTCCAATTTTGGGCTATTTTGAATTAAACTGCTTATGAAGGATTTTGTGTGACAATAAACTTTTGTTTCTCTAGGATAAATGTCCAAGAATTTAATTGCTGGGTTATGGGTATGGTAATATTGCTAATTTTTGAGAAATTTTAAATCGTTAGGAGAATTAAGAGTCTAAAACGTATCAGTCTCCAGTCTTTTGTTTCTGATAATATCTGCAAACATTTGTGGAGTACTCGATTTCTGGAAAAAAATAATCAGACACTAGAGACTAAACTTTAGAAAGTGCTGCTCCTTGTCTACAGAGAGGGAGGTGTAATGTAAAATAGTATGTGGACACCTCTTATGAGCTGGGTCAGGAAGATTGAATGTTGATAGAGAGAGCAGGAGAGTAATTTGGATTCAGGGGAATATTGCAAGCAATGCATGGTGGGAGGAAAACCGGAGACAGGCTAGTGATGGTTATAACAGAGGGTACTGGCTGTGTTGTCATTATGATTTTAATATTTGAAAGAAGCATTTAAAGCTGGGTTGGAGAAAGTAATCACGAGCATCTGAGAAATGTCAGGAAAAACTAATAAGTAGCAGCTGAAAATCACGAGGCCTGCTGCCTCTGCCAGGAGGACATTACAGATAGACTGGACTCCAGAGTGAGGTCCAAGCAGAGCTGGGAGATGACCATGGTGAAAAATCAAATAAAAAGATGAGAACCATCTCTGTGGTTCTCAATAGTAGTTACATTAACCAGTTCTGAATCTTGCAACTGAAGAACTTCCCCTTAGGCTTGGGGAGTGATCTTCAGAGCCTGAAGAGTGATCATCAGGATTTGGTACTGGCCCTAGGGTGGCACTGAAGGACAAATGCTTGACTGCTAACCGCAAAGTCAGAAGTTCAAACCTACCAGCTTCTCCATGGAAACGCTATACAGGGTTACTATGAATAAGAACTGACTCGACAGCACATAACAACAACACTGGTCTGGCTAATCCAGACCAGTATACTTGTTCCCTGAGCTGCCTGGGCCAGCCATTCACTATCTGTTTCTCATATATTCATTGATACCGTAATACTTGCTGGTGACGGTGGTGCTGGTGATTATGTGCCAATGAGTCAGTTCTGACTCACGGCCTCCCTGTACAGAGTTTCCGAGGCTGTAAGTCTTTACGGGAGCAGAAAGCCTCATCTTTCTCCCATGGAACATCTGGCAGTTTAAAACTGCTGACCTTGAAATTAGCAGCCCGATTTGTAACCACTGTGCTACCAGAGCTCTTTTAATACATACTAGGCACTATGTAAAATTGGGTTTATTTGCACAAGTCTCTTAAGTGGAATAGTAAAATGGTATGGAAAAATAAAAACCAGAGATTTCTGTTGGTCATTCCTTTGCTTTCAATTTAATAAGGGACTTCAGGTTTGAAGAGGAATACAAGAGCCAGTGCTTTGAGAAAGTCTACTTTTACTGAAGAAGATTCCTTAAGAATGCTTGCTAGAATTTCCCACAGCAAATGCTGTGTGTGTTGTGCTAATGTTACACCAAGAACTACACTTGATCTCTTTCTCCTAACAATAGAGGTCATTAGTCTTTGGAGAATGAAAAGAGTTTGGAGAAATTTATAGATTCCTAGACATAGATTTGGAGCTCTGGTATGTCGCTGTTGGTTAAGCACTGGACTACTGATCGCCAAGTCAGTGGTTCATACCCACCAGTCATCTCTCCTTGGAAACCTTGCACCCAGGATTGCTATGTGTCAGAACTGACTCGACAGTACTTAACAACAACATCATCCCTAGATTTGAGTCCTGGGGTGACTCTGGAGTATAAGCACTGGACTAATAACTGAAAGGTTGGCAGTTCAAACCCACTAATCATTCCTTGGAAACCCCATGTAGTGTCGCTATAAGTCAGAATTGATTCACTGGCCCTTAAAGAAAACAACCACAGGCAAAGATTATCTTCAGCATGCCTCTTGACTTTTTGTTTGTTTCCATGCGTGTTTTGAGAAGATATTTTTTTCCAAATTGAAGCCCAACATTTTATTTGTTTTTATTGTTTAAGTAAATAAGCTATATACTTGTATGTCTTTTTCTCAGTATATATTTTAGATCACTTTTTATATTAAAAGTCATGAATGCTCATTGTAGAAAATTTGGAAATGTATAAAAACTAGAAAGAAGAAAATTAAAATGCTGCAGCATGCAGTAACGTTTATAGACAGTTTTATATCACTGTTACCTTTTTACATAACATAGCATGTTTTAAAAATTAGAATCACATTATGTGTGTGTGTGTATATATATGAAGTACTGGTGTGTTGCTGTAGGATAAGCGTTGGACTGCTAACCACAAAGTTGGTGGTTCAAACCTACCAGCTGCTCCTTGAAAGCCCTGTACAGAGTTGCTCTGAATCAGAATTGACTCAATGGCACTCAATACCACCAATATATAGATATATTATACATATATATATGTGTGTGTGTGTGTGTGTGTGTATGCTTATGGATACGTTGTTGTTAAGTGCTGTCAAGTCAGTTCTGACCCTTAGCGACCCTGTATAGAGTTTCCAAGGAGTGACTGGTGACTTTGAACCACTGACATTATGGTTCAAATGACTTGCAGTCCAGCGCATTAGCCCACAGTGCTATACCAGGATACTCTAATACACTCTGCTTGTTAGCAGGCTGTATTTATGAAACAATATGGAGTCATATTCCCACATTATTCAAGTTCCAGAGAGTGATTTTCTTGGCCAAACTCATATTGTATAGATGTAATGTTTTAATGAGTTTACTCTTCTTGGACATTTTGGCTGATTGCAGGTTTTCATCATTCTAAAAGTACTCAAATGAATGTCCCCACAGGGGCAGGATTGTTGTTGTTGTTAAATGTCGTCAAGTCTGTTCCAACCCATAGTGACCCTTTATAGGGTTTCCAAGGAGCAACTGGTGAGCTTGAACCACCGACCTTGTGAATCAGACCAATTTTACAGTCCAGCACATTAACCCACAGTGCCACACCAGGATGTTGTTGTTGTTAAGTGCCATTGAGTTGATTCCAACCCATAGCGACCCGGTATAGGGTTTCTGAAGAGCAGCTGGTGAACTTGAACTGCCGACCTTGCCATTCAAACAGCTTTGCAGTCTGGTGCATTAACCCACAGCGCCACACCAGGATAGCAGGGCTTAAAAACATAGCTTAGAGTTAGACAGTTTACCGTTCCATTGTGTATTTGTTTGACCTTACACAGATGATTCAAAACCTTCTAATTTTCTGTCTGTACATATATAATAATAATCCCTATTTCCATAATCTGTTGTGATACATGAATTTTTCATTGCAAGGAAAGGACATTATGTTTGGTAAAGCTGAGTGCCAGCAAAACCAAGAGTAACTGTCAATGAGCTGGATGGACACAGTGGCCTCAA